ATGAGACCTAACTTTGGAAAAACCCACACTCTACTACGTAAGAGTTCCCCCTTTAAATTGGATAGTCCTCACATCAACTAGGTGTGGTTCTCCTTTCAACTTGGAGCCCGGACCCTATCTTGTGTGACACTCCATCTCATTGTCAATATCCACTTGAAGCTAAGCATACACCCCAAGATTCGCTATTAAGCCTTGCTTAACATTCATGTCTCATGAAAGGATGTCCTTGACAATCAAACCATGTTCAAGTTATTCTATCACTTTATACAATCAATCATTTATAAGGTAGGTTAAGTGAGTATATGCCTTTCACCACAATTCTACCAATTAGACTTTTATTCATCACATTAACTTTACTTTCAATGCACTAGTGATTCAATATTCATGACTACAAGCCTTACCTCAAAGCTTTAATTCTCACAACCATCATTCATACCTAGATTTCAAGGCATTCTAATCACATACTTCATTACCAAGTGATTCTACTCACAATTCATCATAAATGTTCAATTTCAACTTTACTAGTCATGATCCATCATATATACTAAAATCTAATTCAATTCATGCCTATATGTTCCTATTCTTGAACAATTACTATAGACATCATCAATTTTAGAAGATCAATTCTAAGTCTTCAATTTCACCTTTCAGGGCATAGACCCACGTAATATCAATTTCATCAATTAAACTAGGGTTAACCATGGAAATCACATAAATTCATCATAATATCATGATTCAATGCTAAATCAATAATAATTAAGTATTATCCACTCAATTGGAATCATACTTCAACACTACCCACAATGTTGGAAGAAACCCTAGCTAGAATTGAGTTTTTGTCTTCACAATTTGGGGAAATCTAGGGGCTCTATGGGTGGAAGAACCCATAGATGAATAAGCTAACATACCTTGATTCAAAGCCCTAACTAAGCTTGCATCAATGGAAGAAATCTGCCCTAACTTCCTTTTCTTCTTCTTCTTCTTCTTTACTTTTAAAGAGAGAATTATTTGGGAGGGAATGAGTTTATTTTGAGGTCTTGGAAGAATGATTTAAATTGGCTTAGTTTAGGGGCCTATTAGGCTTATATAGGTGGTTTAATAACTAATTAACCGACCTCACTTAACCCATAACTAATTATCAATTAACCCCCAAACCCATAACTTAAAAACTAAAAACTAAAATCCGCCTCCACCCACGAGACCCCCACCCACGGACCGTGCTTCACCTTCGTAGGTGGGGTACTGGAGCTCAACATGAAGGGGAACTAGGGTCCCTAACCCACGACCCCTTTCCACGGGGCATGGGTCCATCTACTGTCCGTAGATCCCCTTCGTGGGAGGACTGTTTTTTTTTACAGCTTTTGGGGCTGTTTTGGGGTCCTCCTTAAGGACCCCTTGGGGGGTCCCTGGGGGTCGTACCTTGACACCCTAACCCTAAACTTTCATTCTAAGTACAGAATATCATTTTTACAATTTTAACCCTCATCTCAAACTTTAAAACCCTAACACAAGGCTCTAGAACTCTCTAGTTTAACTTACTAGTTTCCGGGGTATTACATATGGGTTGTGGTGCAGTGATGAAACTGTTTCACCTTTAACCAAAGGTCTCGAGTTCGAGCACAGGGTATGAAAAAAATCCCGTTGGAAGCTAAAGGCAACAACAATTCCTTCAACATACTGCCGATAAAATGAGCCATATTTTGTTGACTCGCTTAACTTGTTCATATTTTAAAACTAATTGTTCCTCTCCATAACTAAAAATGTGAAGTATTTGGTCCTACAAACAATTAGTTCTTCAGTACAACTAATTGTTCCTTTTTATCACTTTATTCTCGTTTTTCAACTTTAATTTGTAATCTATATCAACACTTCAAAACAGTTTGATATACAACTTGTACAACAATCATATGAAGTATTACTCTAATCCAACTCTAAATTTGTAAGGAGTAAAATCATCAACTAGCATGTATATGAGCCAAAATAAGCCACATATTTCATGAATCATGTTCATGATTGTGAACATCTAATTTTTTACGCCTTTTAGTGTTTAAATATTCATTTTGAATCTAAATTAGATATTTTATTTTTAGTAAATTTATTTTAAAAGATTGGAGAACTACAAAAAAAAAATAGTGGTTTGGTTCAACTTGAAGGTATATGAGCCAAAATACACCACATGTTTTGTATCTTTTTAACTTCTACTTTTAGGACCCATTTAAATACTAAAAATAATAATTTTCACTTTATTTGAAAATTAATGTTTGACTTTGTTCAACTTGAAGGTGTATTTCCAATTTGAAAAACATGTTACTCCTCCATCCATCTTTACTTATAGCATACATTGTCTCACTTCCTTCCCTCGAATCAAATGTTGAATGTTAATGCTACATTAAAAATACGAACTTGGCATAAATTATTAGGTTTGTCTCCAATTAAAAATTATTAGGATAAGGGTCTGAAAATACCCCAACTTTGGTCGGATTTACTGTTGCGATACTAAACTTTCATGAGGACCTATTACCTCCCTAGATTATTTAATACCGTATTTTTACCCTTGAACTATTTAAATAGTGTATTTTAAAGGTATATATGTGCCCACGTGGACACATTACTATTTATAATTTTGCATTATTTTTATTTCCACGTGGACAAATATATATGTTTAAAATACGGTATTAAATAATCTAGGGAGGTAATAGGTCCTTATGAAAGTTTAGTATCGCAACAACAAATCCAACCAAAGTTGGGATATTTTTCAGACCCTTATCCCAAAATTATTCATCTACTTAACTAATTGAACCTAAATATACTCTGTCACATGACATATTTAGTGGTCTCAAACTCTTGTAGGAGAGCGAGACTCTTATTTTAATTTTTTTTTATATCTTATTTTATTTCATATTTCAATTTTTTTATCTTAAGAGCCAACTTATATCACATCTTCGGATTAGGCTAACAGAACTCCGTTCTTGCTCAAAACAAAAATGATGGAACAAAAAAATATAACTAAGAATATTTTTAAAATTATTTATTCGGAAGCTACATAAAATGTACTTCTTAGTTCTTTCTTCAATTTGTTAGGCCTATTTTGCCTGACATGGAATTTTGGAAAAGGGAAAAAGGACAAATATACCCCCGAACTATCGCAAATGGTATCTAAATACCTTCTGTTATACTTTTAGAACTCTGATGCCCCTACTGTCTAATTTTTGGAGCATGTATACCCTTTGGTCTAACGGAGTGACACGTGTCATGATCTTAACAACCTATCCAAAATCCATTTAATTTTAATTGTTAATTAAAAAACTGACCCGAATAATAAAAAAAACCACCCGAATAATTTAGATCCACACCGAAATTATAACCAAACCCCCAATAGACCATCTTCTCTAATCTTTTCCTTTCTAACAGAGAATCCATTAGATATTTTCTTTTGTTCTTTAGTTAAATCTCATATTACATACTCCAATTTAAGATATTCTCATCAACACAACATTTAATAAAATTCACTAACTCTTTTTTTAACAGAATAAAGGACAGAAACAGAGTTGGAAACTCATCCATACAGCACTTTGGGTGGTTTTCAGTTTGATGAAATTGAGTTTGGTTATTCTGGTGTTAGAGACAATTTTCCATTGTTTTTTCTTCTTGCTTACCCATAAATCTTTTTTTGTGGTACATTTTGGAATCTAAGAACATTCCCACGCCACAGATTAGCTATGGGTTACGGAGTATCTTCTTGACCTCCATTGTTGAAGCTCTGTAAAGAGAGCTAGAGGTATGTGATTATTGAATGTATTGTTGATTTTTGGATTTTCACGAATCTCTTTTCTTGGCTTTCAGCCCTACAATCTTCATTTTTCAAAGTTTCAGCTATGTAAAAAAGTTATTGAGTTTTGCTACTATAAATCCATTCCATTGGTCGTTAGTTTGGTTCGTCGGTGCTGTTGGAGCAACGGTGAGGGAGAGATGGGTGAGTGGTGGTCAGGTTTCATGGTGGATTAAGGGTCACTACCCCGCTGATTTCGCTGGAGCGAGGGAGGTTAGGTTCGATAGCAGTTAGAGATGGTTTCGTATCTGGAGCTTCGTCGAAGAAGATGGAGTAGCTGCAGTTCTTTGTGTGACTGGTTCTTGGACTAGAGAAGAAAGGAAAAATTAGATTTATTTCGGTGTGGGTCAAAAATTATTTGGATGGGAATTTTATTATTTGGGTCAATTTTTTAATTGGATATAAAAATTAAATAAATTTTGGATAGGTTGTTAAGATCGTGACACGTGTCCCTCCGTTAGTCCAAAGGGTATACACGTTCCAAAAATTAGACGGTAGGGGCATCAAAGTTCTAAAAGTATAACGGAGGGTATTTAGATACCATTTACGATAGTTCGGGGGTATATTTGTCCTTTTTCCCTTTAGAAAATAAAGAAGAATTTTAAATCTTATGATTGTTGACACTCTTATCTAACATTTTTAAAATTCATACTCCCTCCGTTTCATAAAAAATGACCTCCTTTCCTTTTTAGTCAGTTTAAAAAAGATTGATCTCTTTCTTTTTTCGTAACATTTTACTTTTTGCTTTCCACGTGACATGTTTAAGATCACAAGATTAAGGACAATTTTGTACGTTTGACATAATTTTAATTTAGGACCATAAGATTCAAAAGTCTTCTTTATTTACTTAAACTCCGTGCCAAGTCAAACCAGGTCATTCTTTATGAATCGGAGGGAGTAACTTTTAAGTTTTATTCCTCAATAGGTCAAAGTATATTTTTTTTATAATTTTAAATAAGTTTATCGATACTAAATCTTATTTCTCAAACTTTTAAATTTTTTATCAATTAATTTTAATTACAATATTTTTGTCATATTTAGTTGATTATGAATATGTTGAGAATATTATCTCTTTCTGATTAAATCATTATTTTTTTGTTAAATTGTATGTTTTTTTTACATATCTAATTACACTTTGTTAAATTATATGTTAAATTAAGTCCTTATTTGATCTAAAATAAAGTTGAGGTGGATAAAAGCATAAAAAAAGGTTTTTCTCTCAATTACCCTTAAAGCAGCCGCCACCATCCACCTCTCTTCTCCGGCCAAAATACAACTTGAAACCACCAGAACCCCACCAGTAAACAACCCAAAACGACCCCATTTCCCACGAAACCAGACCCACCAGAAAACAACCGAGCCCTCACTTCTCCTTCTCCATCACAACCTAACACAGCCGCCACCACCACCCAAACACCTTCACCACCGGAGTAACCACACAACCCCTCCTTCTCCAATTATCCAGCAACCAACAACAAATCCAGCTAACGAACTCCACCAAAAGCTCTTTCTTCTCCTTCAACAGCGAGCTTTTGGCTCCAGTGAACAGTCGACAACAACAACAACGCCACGAGCTCCGGTGAGCTCGTGAGCAACCAAACAGACCCCAGTGAACTCGCGACAAGCAGCCGGCGAAACCCAACTGCCACGACGTCGTCTCCGGTGAACCAACGAGCTCCGACGAACTCGTGATCCAACCACCCACATCGAAAATCAGACGACCAGCAAGCTCCAAACTCAAGCAACACACTACAACAGACAGTAAGCTAGATCTCTTTTTCCATTCTTTTTGTTTAATAAATCCTTATTTTGGGTTTGTTTTGCATAATCTACTGTATTTTGATCATTGTTGATTATTCTCATTATCATCTATTTCACTGTATTATTATTAAATTTTGTGTTTAAATCGATTTTGCACTTTTTGGTGAGTTGTGTTTCTTTGGCAGAACTCCAATTAAATTGGCCAAGTTATCTGTTATTGGTGGACTTTTGGGTTGTTCTTGTTTATTGTATTTTATTTTTGCTGGCCATTATTGTTTGTGGGGTGATATAGATTATTATCTTGACTTGCTTGACATTGATTTGCATTATTTTTTTAAAAAAATTCCAGCTATTTTGTGCAAATTTGGTTACTGCATTATGTTAGATCAAGATAGGTTTTGACGAAAGACGAATCACAACAAACCTGTTCCACAAACATGATCTTAAAAGACCTAATCCGATTGGAACTGGGAAAAGGAATTATGTTGAGGCGGAAAATAAATACAATATTGTTAGATGTTCAAGTTGCACACGGAAAGAGAAGTCCGAGTCATATAAGGAGAAGAAGTCACTAAAAGTTTACCAAGTTGGAGTCAACAAAGGAAAGACTTTTTTGTCTATAAAAGAAGAAGGGATCTCTCAAAGAAAGGTGTGCACTTACAAAGAGAAGATCCAAGCTGAGAGAAATCTGATTGTCGAGTAGTGAGCTATTGACGAGAACAAAATTGAAGAGTCTATTCTGTTTTGTTTAGGTCGACTAGTAATCTGTAGGTATTAGTCACTAGGGGTTTCCTACTATTGTTGGTCTTTTGGTTGGGGAACCTTAAGACACTGGGTAAATACAAAACTTGGGGGTTTTGTGTTTTTGAGTTTGGAATTAGAGTTTATAATTCCATAGGCTAATAGGTGTGTAATCTTTTGTAGTTTGAAGTTGTGAATTAATAATTAATCGAGTTAATTATTACTGAGCTATTGTGTTACGTGCGTATTTAACTTGAAACTACAAACGAACTAAGGAATAAGTAACTCCTACGTGTTCCTTAGAAGAATTAAGGAGGGCATAATTCCAACACGTTATTTGGTCATTTTTACTTTTGTTATTGAGTTTTTTTCCCCACTATTTTAACTTTAAGTTGACTTATGTCAATGCCTTTTGCATTACTTCATAAGTTAATTTCTCACTATTCGCTTTGTCATGAGATTTTCTTCAAATAGTTTCGGTTTTATCATCTTGCACTCTTAATATTTTTTACTTGGATATTATAAAATTGGCCAAAAAAATCTCTAATCTCTCCGTTGGTTTTCAAGGCCTTCTCATTTTGAATGATGGAAATTTAGTTTAAGTCCATATACTTTGTATGTTACAATTGGCTGATGAAGAAATTACCGTCGATTTTCAAGGTCTTCCATGTTAATTATACGAGTTTTATCTTAAGTTATTATATTTTATTTATCTTGATTCATATTTATTCATTACTAACACTTTACTAAGTGTATTTACATGTACCCTAGAGTTGCTTTGCAGGAAGCTATACGAATGAAGTTCGAATATCATATTCATTATTTTTATATTATTGACGTTAGGCAAACCTTAGATCGTTTCTTATATTATTCTTTTATTTTATTATTTGTGTATATCACATGTTTATTATACTTGTATATTGCTTTTATCTCCTCCTCAATTTGAAAAAAATGAATTCATTCGAGACCCACAATTGTGGATTTTGAAGGGTGTTTAATACCTTCCCTTCAGAATCACTTGAACCCTTACCTAATCTATTGGTTTCATAGATATTTTTTGTTAATTAATTGATTGGTTTCCTAGTTTTCCTAAAATTAGGTGGCGACTCATAAAATTCTTTTCTTAAAATTCTTTTAAATTTAATTTAATTTAATTAATTGTTTATTTTTTGAGTCACCATGACTATTCGCCTTATTTGAGTAAAGTAGGGATGTAAACAACTACTTTTGTTGAGTAGAATCACTAGGTTGCTGCATTTGAAGACCATCACTCTGTTGTTGAGCAATATCAGTCTGATTCTGTTGAGGACTATGCAGCATCTGTCGAAGAGCACTCTGTGTTACTAGGCTGACTTGTAACCTGTTGTGCAGGAGCTTCCAGAGCTTCTTGAACTAACACAACCTGGACGGTACCCTTAGTCTTCATTCCCTTGGTCTTCATTTCCTGAACCACTCTCCCTGGTTCCTGCCTGTGTTTAGGTTGTTCATTTGGTGCCTTAGCTTCCTCCCTTCCCTTGGGAGGGCAACTATGTCCAATAACTAAACATGTAGGGCAGAATTTAGGTTCCCAATCATAGATGACTGGTTTCTGAAATTTCTTACCATTTGGATCCAATACAAGTAATCTCATCAGGTAGGGACTTGGTAACATTAACCTCAATTAGTATTCTTGCAAATGAGATTCTTGTCTTCTTGGCTGTGGCAATGCTTATATTTTTGCAATGTGCTCCTATGATTTTTTATTTATTTTTGGATATGTATTGAACATCGGTACTAGTGAAATTCCAAACTCATTGTGTTTTCATTTAGGATTATCTCAAATTTGTGAGCATCTTTGATCTGTTTATGGGTAAGTTGATAATGTTATCCTTCAAGAGTTCACAACAATGCCCAAGTGAAGGTGTAGTGATCTTCCTATGCTAATTGGTTGCAGTGTTGATGCATCATGCTTCCAATATGAAATAAATTTTCTTGAATCCAAAGTAAGTGTTTCACAAATTAAATGATTGGTTGGTACTTTTGTAGATGAGGTATTTGAAGCCATCCAACTTGTTTCATGAATTACTGAAGTCAAATGCACTTGCAAGTTGCCGTATTCTTGGGTTGGATGTGGGTGATAAGTACGTTGGTCTAGCTGTTTCGGACACAACAAATAAAGTTGCATCACCTCTCGCGTAATGTAGCTTCACTGAGCATCTTAAATTTTGATTATGTTGAAACAATTATGCCCCATGTTCATTTTTATTACATTGTTGTGTCAGAAGAAATGACATTAATGTTGGGTATATGCAGTGTTCTCCTCCGCAAGAAAACAAATATTGACTTGATGGCTAAAGATCTACAGGGTCTGGTAAGGTTCATTATATAGTTAACCCATGATTTCTGACAATTGTGGTTTCTTAGGTAGCTAAATAGTTTTGTTGCTTGACTTCTGCTACTTATAATCTAATTCAGCATGAGCAGTTACATGTGAGAGAATCTAATTTTGAACAATTGTTTTGCATAAGACGACCGTTTATTATAAACCCTGCTCCCTTCCATTCAGTTTCTCTCTTTTCTCCGCATTTTACTATTGCGGTACTATAAAGAAGTTTAAAGTCAGTTGTGATCTAAGTTACTTGAATATGCCTGGTAGATACATCAGCTTTAGATGAAAATAAAACTTGCTTTCAAAAATAGTAATGAATGGTGCTGCAAAATGCAAACTTTCATCATCCCTTTTCCCTTTTCCTTTCACGTAATTTTTGTCTTCTTTTTTCCAAGTGCAGGTTTCTGAACTCAACTTGGGGGCCTTTGTTTTTGGCTATCCATTTGATAGACAAAAAATTAGTCGAGATGTATGTTTTCCACTTTGATAATGATTAGCTTACTTTGTTAGCGTCGTTTGAAATAAACATTTGTCTGTCTTTGTCAGGCTGTGCAGGTGAAGTTATTCATTGACGACCTTTGTCGGACAGGGGAACTTAGAGGTGTAAACTACACCTTTAGGGATGAATGCTTCACATCTAAGGTATGTGCTCTTAACTTTTTAATTTGTAAAAAGTATCGCGAATTAGTCATATCTTGATATCAAGATAATACTACACAATTCTTGTTATTGAAAGGTTGCGACTAGATTATTTTAACACTCACACCACAAAATAATGTCAGATGACGGACTTATGGAGGATGATTGAGCTTACAACAACAACAAACCCAGTGAAATCTCACAAAGTGGGGGTCTGGATTGAGTTATAATTGCATGTAAACAAATGATTTAGGCCATCACTGTTTGACTCCTTAAATAACTATAAAAGACAAGCTTTTGCTTCTGTAAAGAATTTTGAACCTCTTCTGTAATTTGCCTTTAGTTTTTATTAGTTGACGTTAGATTGATCTCATTGCTCCCCACCCCTGACCCCACAACTGTTTTGTCTTTGATCATTTAATATTATCTATTGATATGCAAAATGACCAACAATTATATGTATTATCTTGCTTTCAGAATGTCGAGTTCTTACTACGAGATTTAAAATTTCACCCAACACAGTCGAAGACCATGTTAGACAAATTTGCAGCAGTTGGAATACTTCAGGTAATAAAAGATCTTAGCTTATTTCTGCACTTAGAGTAGACCCTTATTAATCAGCAAACATTCAGTTAAATAGATTTCAGGGTGAAATATTCTGAAAAACTTCTCATCTGAGAAAAAATAGTTTTGTTTGTACAAAAATAAAATTGTCTTGCAATTCTTAGCTGAAATAATCTCTACTTATTTTCAACTAAAAAACTGTAGTAATGGAGGCAGCTCTTTGCCCATAATTGTTTGCTAGGTTCCTTCTCTTGTTTTTTTTTTCTTTTTCTTATTTGGGCTAGTTGAATTGTTGTTTGGTTAGGATTTCATTTGTTCAAAGTTCAGACTGGAGGAACAATATGTTTTCACTATTCCCATTTCAGTTAAATTCATTTTAGGATTAGCTTTGCCTCTTATCTGGGAAAAAAAAAGGAAGCCGAAAATATGGTTTTACTTGAGGCTTGTTATATTCTGTAATACAATAACTATGGTGGTTTGTGGCAGGGGTACCTCGACTTTGTTAACAGGAAACACACCTGAGAAGACTCCTATTAACTTGGTGTCTAACTCAACCTATGTCTTATTAAGTTAATTTCTTCGAAAAATGGACATGTATCTACATTTATATGTACATATACTAAACATTGAAACTAGGAGTAGTATGTGTCGCTGTAGTTTGTTGGTTCAGTGTATTTTGTTACTCTCTATTTTTATCCTATGTATAAATTGTCACGTTGTATTCAAGGACAAGACTGTAATGTTATGGACCACAGTTTGGGGTTCTTTGTTGGTCAGATCTTTAGACATCTTGACCACATTTTCATCAACTCGAGATTAGCTACTATTTCTTAGTTTTAGTTGAAATTTCCTTGCAGTGCTAGCTTGAAGAAATATGAAAACTTGACTCCTTGGTCTTTCCTTTTTGTTTCTCAGGTATACATTATTAATAGGGTAAAAATATTTACATGTACATGACGTTTACCGCAAATCAATAAATGCATGATATGTGTTTTGTGCATGGATTTGTCTTTACTTAATGATACATATTCTCACCCTATTAAGTTGTTTATTCATGGTAAATTGATATAATTTTATATCAACACCAGGTACATATAACTATTCTAATTATATTAAGAGATCCATGCATGAGAGGGTGATGAGCAAAATGGAGGCTGATCACCCTACGGGGTAGCCCAGCGTTCAGATCTCAAGTTTGAAACCCCACTGAATCTTCTTTGTTATAAGTAAACTTACATTGACGTGAAAAACTAAAAATTATAAACCTCATGTGCTGTTAAGAGTTTTGGGCTAAATTCATCCCTTAACTATGACTAAAGCTTATGTTACATCCTTGCACTATAATAGTTAACAAGAACCATCCTTTTAGTATTTAAATATTACAAAAGTTAGTCTTCTGTCTATTTGAGTTTAAAAAACTAGCATTGCTTTTTCAAGAAGTTATTTTCTCTCTCCCATATCCCTATTTTGCCCCTCTCAAATCTGTCCCATCATCTGTCTTCAACTTCAATAAAAAGCATTTGGTATAGTCTAATCGTTTTTTCTTTTTCACATCTTGAGACAACTCCACTTTAAACTACCCAAATAACCACTAAACAAGCAAAAAGAAAAAGCAATAAAATAGTAAAAAAAAAACATAAACCTGCAAAATTGCAGAAAAACAACAAAAAAAACTGGTAAACCAGCAGCAAAACAGCAAAAAAATGCCCAAAAGAGTAGAAAACTGAAAAGAAGAAAAAAAACTCGTGATTTTAGTAAAACAGAAAGTTAGTGTAACAACAAAGACACCACAAAATAAGCAAAAAACAGCAAAGTCTAGTGTCATTAAATCATCATAAAGCTAAAACATTTTTCATTAGTTCCATGCACAAAAACATAACAAATGAACAACAAAAACTAGTTACATATCATTAGTTTGATACATCAAATATCCAAAAAAAAGATCCAAAACTAAAAATGTATTTTCTTTAATGTTGCAACTTCATAGAGAAAATGGAAAGCTCTGACGTTGTTGGCTGGCTTGAGATGTACCTCTTCTAACCTGAAATAAGAAATTAAAATATTAAATATGAATAGTTATACAAGTAAGCTACAATAAAAATAACTTAAATATGAATATTTGAATATTCTTACAGGTAGTTTTTCAACATTTTGGCAACTTGATGCTTCCTCGACCATGATGGAGTCCAAACTACAAAGG